ACCCCCCCCCCCGACCCATGATGGTTCAGTGTGGGGAAGGAAGGGTGGCAGGGTGCAGACTTGGGTAAAACCACTGACACTAGGGCTGGGCTTGAGCCCTAGCTCTGCAGCTTACAAGCTCTTGGCTTAATTTATTTTACTTTGATGAGCTTCAAGCTTACTCTCCATAAAATGGGAATAATAATTTTTACCTCATAGAGCTGTTATGAATTAATAATTTCACATGCCTGTTGCATAGTAACATGCCTGTTGCATGTTATATGTGGAGGAATATTTATAAATATTAAGTTAATATTGATTAACTTAGTGTGTCTTAATTTAAAAACTCTGACTTCATTGACAACTTTACAAATAAGATTGTGAGGTTCTGAGGAAATATTTTGACTATCCATAGAAGCACTGGATACATCCTATTTAAATAGTTAATGTTGTCTGGGTCCCTGAGTGACTTACGTTCTTTGATAACCATCTTACTGAAGGGAATGAAACAGTTTGTATTGGTGCCAAAAGGAAAGCCATGGACTTCTAATGTCAATGTCAGGGTGACAGGGTCTGACAAAGCCTATAAAAGTGAATGAGATGGAAAGGCTAGAAAAGCTCTGTTCTTCCTCCAGGTGGAGAAAAAAATGCCATTTATTTGGAGGGGGTGTCATACATATAGACAAAGGACAACAGAAAACAAGAATTAATAAATGGGGAAACAGGTTTAGCTGGGTTTGTCATTACTGCTAAAAAAATGTGAGAACTTATTTTATTACTCATAATCAGCTCAGCATCATTTCCAGTTGTCAGCATCATCTTTTGTCAGGTGCTTGAAGAACTTTCTTTGTTTGTTTGTTTGTTTATTTTTGAGAGAAAGAGAGCACAAACCGGGGAGGGTCAGAGGGAGAGGAAGACACAGAATCAGAAGCAGGCTTCAGTCTCTGAGCTGTCAGCACAGAGCCCAACGCGGGGCTTGAACTCATGAACCACGAGATCATGACATGAGCCAAAGTCAGACGCTTAACCAACTGAGCCACCCAGGCACCTCTGAGGAACTTTTACTTAAATGCTTGCTTCCCTTTGATGAAGAAAGAGGAAGAAGAGTTTTGGTCAATCCTCTGTTGCATTTCCAGCTTGCTAGGATTGTTAAGATAGACAAGATAGAATATCTTGTCCCATTGTTCCTCAGTGTGTACTTTCTCACGCAGCCTTTGTTAAAACATGGGAAGAGACAGTGCCATACTGTGAATCGTACAAACAGGATGAGCTGAGGTTGACTTTGCCGTAGAGATGTTTACTCGACTGTTGGTACATCTCACTGAACGCTGGATTCTTTCCCTAACTCTTTATTTATTTAGTCTGGTAACTTTTATTTTTCTTTCCATTGGGGAGGGAAGAATTGTTTTTGCAATCCTAATTACAAGGATACAGTCTTCATGTTTGATAGTTAACACAAGAAATATGGTGTTAGAAAATGAATGTTCATTAATAATCAGTATGATCACCATCTATGTGTCACTTTAGCACTTTCATTTTTTGCCTTAGTTCTCCCTTTGAATTTTTAAAATTTGCCTTTACTTGTTAAAATGTTAAAAGTATATTCTAAAGAGTAAGAATTGGAGTAATAACATAATATCTAAAAATAAGATGCAGTACATTTATATCAATAGGATTAATGGTTGTGGGGCACCTGGGTGGCTCAGTTGGTTAAGCGTCCGACTTCAGCTCAGGTCATGGTCTCACAGTTCATGGGTTTGAGCCCCGCATTGGTCTCTATGCTGACAGCTCAGAGCCTGGAGCCTGCTTCAGATTCTGTCTCCCTCTCTCTCTACCCTTTGCCTGCTAACGCTCTGTCTCTGTCTGTCTATCTCTCTCTCTCAAAAATAAACATTGAAAAACAACAACAACAAAATTTAGTAAGATTAATGGTAGCTTAAAATTAAGGAGGGCCAGAAGTTATGTTTTAAGCTTTTGGTCATTACTTATCCCCCCACCCCAACGCCACCCCCCACACACATACAGAGTCATTCACTTGCAAACCCCATACTTATAAGAAAATTTCACAGATGAGCAACAGAGTCTTGGAGAACTAAGGCTTGCCTAAGATCAAACAGCCAGAAAATGATGGATCCAGGAGTATGGCTTTCCAGTGGCCTTTACGTTGTGGTTCACAGGGAACCATTCAAGGACTATGCTGCTGCATTGATGGAGGGACCTTGTCTTATTCATCTTTGTACCCAGCTCCTAGCACAGAACAGAATGGAACAAGGAGGTGACGTAACCAGAGCTATATTTTAAGAAGATAAATCTGGCAAGGATGAGTGGGATGAAAAGAACAGGAAAAGCTGGTGGTGTGGAGAGCAGTTTAGATGTTATTGCAGTAATAAAGAACATTAACAAGATTAGGAGTGAGGAAGCAGTGTTGAGAATAGAAGCCAAGCAAAGCAGTGGAAGAGATTTAGCAAGACTGAGTCCATGGGCTTATGACCATGTGTAGGCAGTGAGGAGTACCAGGTCTTTTGATAAGTATTCATTTATATAGCAGATATTTCTGAGCATCACCTGTGTGCCAGGAACTATTCTAGATGCTGAGGATACAACAGAGAATTAGGCAAACAAGGATTTTGCTCTCATGGACCTTACATTCTCATTGGAAGTTATATTGGTCAATGTTCTCCAAAGAATCCCACTATACTCCACTATATTATATATCATATGTATATGTATATATATGAGACAATTTTCAAGGCATTGATTTTTTCAAGAAATTGGCTTATGTGGGGTTGGCAAGTCAGGAATCTGTAGGGCAGGCCTACAGGCTGGGAACTTGAGCAGAATCTGGTGCTGTCATCTGGAGGTAGAATTTCTGGTTCCTTGGGAAACTTCAGTTATGTTCTTAAGGCCTTTAACTGATTGGATAAGGCCCACCTAGATTATTTAGGATAATCTCCTTTATTCCAAGTCAACTGATTGTAGATGTTAACCAGATCTGTGATACGCTCCTCGATTAGTGTTTCATTGAATGACTGGGCACTAGCCAAGTTTACCCGCAAAACTAACCATCACCGATGCACAAAGGGGAATGACTCAGGGCGTTCGAAAATAGCTATCAGCTTCTAGGGTTTGGAGATTCTGCATAAGTAGGTATATCTCCATCTTACAGATGGGGCATCCGAGACTTGGGGATATTAAGTGACTTATTGAGGTTAAAACAGCTAATGACTGGCCCTCTTTTGTGACTGTAACATGTATGCCAGAAACACGACAGAGGCTGCCTCCCAGGAACAGTCAGAAGGATCAGAATGTTTGACTTTTTTCCCCAGAGGAACACAGTTGGTGAGCAAGTTCAGATTCAGAACTTGTTTCCTGAGTGCAGAGCCTGAACTTAGGGAGGTCCATACTGCTTTTGGGGGGCAGGGTGATTTCCTCCTGCTTTCGTCCCTCCCTCACTTCTGCCAGTGTCCAGCTCAGGGTTCTCGTGCCAGTCAGTCATTGTGCCTAGAATACCCTTCTCCCCTCCCATTTCATGCGGGTAATGTCTGTGTAGCCCTCAAGTATTCACTTTGGCACTTCATCAGGAAAATCTTCCCTGAGTACCCAAACAAAATAAATCTCCAGTCATAAGCCTTCCCAAACTCCATGTTCTTCTAAGGTGGTACTTAGCACTATTGTCATTAAGTAGTTTATTTATGTTATTTTATTAACCTCTCCTCCCATTACATTCCCTAAAGGAAGGAGCCAAATCACTACCATGCTGATTCCCAGTGTTGAGCACAGTTCTCAGCATTTATTACTTGTTGGATGAATGTATGGGTAAAGGACCGAATGAATGTGATATGTGTCTTCTAAGGAATAAATCTGCAGGCATTCTAAACAGCAATCTGGAAACATGATGACACATCCAGGTTGCTACTCTCCTGTTCTAATCCCCAATCTAATCATATCCAGAGTACAGCTAACCCCATCCTTGGCATGTGGATTCTTCTCAATTTCCATTTAAAAAATTGGCCCCTCCTGCACTCTTCCCTAATTTATGGGTCCCCTTTAAGCATTTGAGCCTAAAGGCCTCTAACACAAAGAAAAGGGTTAGACTGATAGAAGGAAAGAAAACAAAGGTGAGAGAAGAGAGTAAACAGTGCACAGCCGAGGACAAAGTCAGGCATGAATGGAATGTCCTGCGAAGCCCTCATACTTAAGACAGATGGTTCCCTGTCTTCTTGCCCCAGGCAGGAAGTTCTGACTGCTTCTGCCTGGGTCTGGAGTCTTGTGAGAAGAGAAGCTTCTGACTGGAGCAGTCCCTGATAATCTCTTGGGCTCTTGAGAGCCAAGTTGAATGAAAGGTCAGTTAGGAGGCCCCCCTGTGCCTACTGAATGCCCCCCTCCTGCTGGCATGCAGTGAAGGCTCACGGGAGTGCCACATGAGAACAGCAGTGGAGTTGACTGAGCACATCAGCTGTACAAACAGGAAAGGGTACGGTACCCTTCACTCTGGCTTCTGATTTGACAGCCAGCAGCCATAACAACATAAAATGTCGTCTGTATTGTTAAATGCTTCCAGGAGCTCTTTTGCCCTTTTGTGTGAGAGCCCAAATATTAATGGAAACAAGCCTTTATTTTGCAGTTGTCTTCTGACTGTGGAAAAAGAAAGGTTGGATTTATTTACAAGTCGCAAGTTATCCTGAAAGGCCTGTGCAGGCCTCCCCACCTGCATTCTTTCCATTAAGCATTCTTCCTATTGAGAAAGAGAAAAATCTCTCTGTGTCTGCATCCTCTACGTTTTCTGAAACTTGGAAGACTGTTGTGAATCGTAGAGGACAGTCCTGGGATCCAGACAGATTTTGACTAAATCAGCACAGGGTATACCAGGAAGCTCACTGGCCCAGGAGCTAAGAGATGGAGGTTCAAGTCTCGGCTGTGCCTCTGAGCAGTCGAGTGACCTTGGACAAGTCTCTGGGCTGTGGTGGACTAGGTAGTCTGTGCGGTTACCGCCACTCTAAGATGTATGGTTCTCATTGCAGGCATCTTTTCCACAAGTCCTGTGTTGACCCCTGGCTTCTAGACCATCGCACCTGCCCCATGTGCAAGATGAACATTCTTAAAGCCCTAGGGATCCCGGTAAGCACAGCACAGCCTACAGCATCATAATATGTGTCTTTCTGCATCACCCCCCAAGCAGGGAGAAAACATCACACCTGGATTTTCTATGACCGTCTCATCTTCCTGGCAGAGCCGTCATCTGCTGAGGCCCCAAGAGAACACCCATGTCTGAAACATTTCTCTTCTCACTTTTTCTCACTCTGAGAACATCGCGGCCCTCTCACCACGTCCGTGTCAGCTCCTAAGCTTCTCATCTAGGCTGCAGGGTGCGAGTACAGGCAGGACACAGCAGAGGCTGGACGGCCCGGTTGCACACTGACCGCCTCCTGTGTGTCATCACTCACGTACTGTCAGCAAGGAGGTCTGCGTGCCTCACTTTCTGATGTTGCCCTACAACCACTGGGTTGCACCATGGCTAGCTTTCACTGGAAAGGAGCTCTTCCGGACAATGGGAGGAAAGGATAGCCACTGGGAACCTGGCCCAGAGCCTCTGCTCAACTCAGATCTCTGCAGAGAACAGGAAACCAGAGCCAGAGCTGCTTCATTCTGACACTACCATCCAGCTGGTGCCCTCTGTCATATGTTCATAAAATTGAGCCTCTCCCCCAGTGCAAAGAGAATCCCACCAGCTGGCCGGTTTGATGCTCCAGGGAAGGACTTTCCCAGGATTGTATTAAAGTGAGCCCCACGAGCTGGTGGTTGGTGAGGCACCAGCTGCTGTGGTAAGGGCAGGAAGCAAGCCAGGCCACCAAATCCAAGGGCTGCACAGAGATGTGAGAAAAACATAGGCGCTGTCTAAAAGAAGCTAGACAAACAGGGTACAGAGATCAACCTCCCCCCCACCCCCGCCCGCCGGCCCCTCCACTTGGCTGCAGCCTCTCTGTTGTCACTTCTCACTACTGATGGCAGAGAGTAAAGAGAATGTTAATGGTCCCAAGATGTCACTGAAGAAGAAAGGATCAGATCAAATATCAAAGGCTTCCTTTAATGCCAAAATGCTAATTATGCCAGGACTACCAGAGGGGCTCTGTTGGAGAGGGCACACCTGAAGCATTATGAGGTCATGCATTGGCTGGAGAATTTTCTACCCTGTACCAGCTGCCTCAACGCAAGCTGTATGCTGTGTATCATGGTTGACACACCAAACGCAAATCGGCTTGTGTGACTATAGCTGCGAGCTAGATTCTGAAAGGCAATGCATTACATTTTCAGGCCAGAGTTGTAAATGCACAATGCATTCAAGGTAAAAATCAATTACAGTGAGCATGAAATATGAGTAAGAGCCCATCATCTCTACCAGATACTAGGAGCCTAGAAAATCGAACGCAGGGTTTGCACTTTTCAACCAGTTCATGCAAGGGAGATGGGAAATGTATGTATGTGTGTGCTTGCATATGTGTATGTTATGTTTAGTCTCCAGAACCTTTAGAATACTCACAATTCAAGGTAGACAGTCACATTATTTGACCCAGTTTCTAATGCTCAGGATATTTTCAAAGCTCCTAAATGTTGATCCCAGTGCTTCTTGGTCAGGACAGTGAAACCAAACCACCCCTGGTGGTTATGTTTCGAACGAAATAGCATTTGACTTCAGACTTCTCCAGAGGAGGTACGACTTCTTCAGAAGCTACTTGAGAATGAGTTGACGATACAAATACTGTTTTCGAAATAGAACTGTTGGGTGGCCTTTGGGCTTATTTCCAAAATTAAAAACATTTTAACTTTTAGCAGTTGGGCATTTTGTACATGGTTTCATGCTCACCAAGTACGGGTAGGATTTTACTCAGCACACTTGACTTCCAGGAAAATAAACATTGGTAGCATCTTTTGTATTTTGCCAAGGATTCATAAAGGCTAGCTGCACAGGAACATGACACGCATCTGTGCTTGCCCCAGAGAACAGAACGTCCTCCAGAAAGAAGAAGGCATGTGGGCCACTTCTCAGGAACCACCAAGGCATATGGCTACCCTCATGCCTCCCCAAGGTTTCTCTGGTCGTGTCCTAGAGGATGATACTGAAGTCTGGATCTGGGAGGAATTGGGGATGTTGTTTCACTCCATGCTTCACCACTGGGTAGCACCATGCCTAAACCATACCAAAAAGGTGATGTTTTATTGCATTCATATAACTTTCCATGTCACTGGGCAAGTTCACAGCCTTCTCACTTAGTAAACACTTCAGCTAACTGAAGCCCTCTTTATGCAGCTTAAAGATATTGTTGTATAATTTTTTTTCTAAATTCCTTATACTCTATTCTTAATCAAGGAAAATTGAAAAGAGGTTGTCAGTCTCTAACAATTAGTCCCTAGTGGTTCTTATCTCTGTATCCCTTTCGTATAATGGGTGTTCAGTAAACGTCTGTGGCATTGTTGCCCCTCAGAGCCAGAAGGCTGTCAGTTACAGAATCATATTTATGAAATTCAGTCTGGTCTCCTTTGGACTGTGTCCACTCACCACTCATTACTTGGTTGTAATCTTGGTCAACTAAATGGTCCAGATACAGGCAGTAAGGGTTTTTTTTTTTGTTTTTTTTTTTTTGGCTTGTTTCTGGTTTTTGTTTTTAATTGAGTATCCTTGTGGCTGCCTCTGCTATAAGGCACACCACACATAAGCCGAAAGCTGAGAGCTGGGGACATTTTCACTTTGTAAAGTGGATTTCTCTAAAATGAGCTAAAGAATGAAAGCACAGCTTGTGGATCATGAAATTCCCATTATAGTGGGTATCTTTTTTTTTTTTTTTTTACAATATTTTGCCAAGAGAAATAAGATACAGAACTGAAAAGGAGGGAGGCCTTCATTGTCAGAAGTGTTTTCATCCCTTTATCTACACAACAGATCTGCACCCTCGTTTCTCTCCAGTCAGTTCTAGGCGAGTCTTTGTAGAACGACAGAATGCAGATCTCAGTGAGTACTCCTCTGAGGTACCATATCACCCAGGCCATTCATATCCCAGCAGTGAACACCTTCTATCGCTATTGTCCTGTTATAAATAGCATGATAGTTACTGAAGAGAAAATTCCATGTAGCTGGGGTATTCCCATGTTCCTGACTTCTAGAGGTTGGTTTATTTGAGTGGTTTCTCCCATGCTAAACTGAATTTGAATACCTATGCAATGTTCACTTGCAGATGGTATTTGAGATCTTCTGCTAAACATTATGACTGTAATTTCTCTTCGAGGTATATAAATTGGGTCCCTTTACACAAACATTCTTCTCTTGGATGAACCACTTAGAGTAGATATAAACTGTGAGTTTCTGTAATGTTTGGTCTCTGAAATATTATACCTAAGCCAAATTATTCATGCCCGCTCCATTAACAGTCCCATTGAGCTAATTAGCTCTTTCTCTTTCCTGCTTCTGTTAAAAATATAATACCGTTCCTCCTAGTGCACAAAATAAAAGGGAACACTCTGCTTCAAAATTAATAACTTTTTTAAAAAAAGAAAAGACAAAAATGAAGAAACAAAATCAACAAGCGAAGTCAACATTTTGAAAACTATGTCAGTGGTTACCGCATATGTGATTGCATTCAGATGCCCATGGAGGAAAGACCAACCAGCACAGTATGCTCATTGTGAAATCCTTTCGTCCCTGACACCGCCCCCCCCCCATACAATTGGTTTTGCTTATAAGCGTTTTTATATAGTGTAGGGGAGAGAAAAAAGATACTTTCCCTTCTACCCGTCTAGGTTCTCTAGCAGGGGCCCTATAAATGAGACCGGTAAAAGATAGACAAGAGAAAAACAACCAGACATTTATTAACATGTGCACTGCACAAGCACATGGGAGCACTTAGGGATGAGTAACTCAAAGGGGTGGGCAGAACTTGGACATACAGAGCATCTTCACAAAAGAACAAATTTTAATAGAAGTGACCAAAGGACCTTGAGTTTCTCGGGCAGCAAATTCTGGGAAGGTACATATATGAGGGAAACTAATGGCAGAGAAGGGCATATTAGTGAGGTGTGTTATTACAGATTCATTTTGGTGTCAACTCCCAGTCTCTGGTGATCAGAATGTTCTTCTCTTCCTGGTACAGGGAGGGGGGCCACCTTTACAAAATGTCCTACTTTTGGGCAGATGGGAGGAGGGCAGAGAACATTTCTTTACCTGCTTCTTCTCAACTGTCTTCAGCGCAAAATAATCCTTATGCCAACAGCACATTTTGGGGTGGCATATTCTGGTATTCTTGAATAATATACCGTAACTTCACACGGAACTTGACAGTTTTAAAGCATTTTCTCAAATCCTCCCTTAACTGATCTAGGACAGATAGTAACATTCCCAGCTTTTCGTGGTAGTAAACTGAGACACTGATAAAATGTTCAAATCGACATTTACTGAGCACCTTGTAATTGTCAGACACTATATGAGGGCTTGGAAATTAAGATCAACGTAATGTAGTCGTTTCACTTTAAAAAGCTCGTGTCTCACTTTTATGTGGAATCTAAACTAAACTCCTAGAAACAAAGAACAGACTGGTAGTTGCCAGAGGTTGGGGGTTGGGGGGTGGGGGTGAAATGGGTAAAGGTGGTCAAATTGTAAAGCAATCCTGGGGATGTAACATACAGCATGGTGACTGTAGTTAACAATCCTGTTTTGTCTATTTGAAAGTTACCAAGAGAGTAGATCTTAAAAGTTCTCATCACACACGAAAAAAACCTTGCAACTCTATGAGGTAATGGATGTTGGCTAAACTTAGGTGTTAATCATTTTGCAGTCTATATGTATATCAAATCATTCTGTCATACACCTAAACTGATGGAATGTTACATATCAGTTATATTTGAATGAAGCTGGGGGGAGAAAGCTTGTGAACTAGTAGAGTAAGACAGAGACAAGCACAGTTACAAATAAACCACAACACAGGGAGAAATACCTACAAAGTATTACGGTATCCAACATGCTACCTGGGAGGGAACAGTACTTAGAAAAGGTGATGGTTGGCCTGGTAATTGAAGGATGCTTACGAGTTCACCACAGTCAGGTTGAGACCTTGGGATGGGGAAGGCAATGGGGGTGATTGGGACTGATCAGAGGAACAGCATAAGCTATAGCACTGAGATAGGGAATATATGGTATTCTGTGTTTCGAAAGGCTAAGGTGAGGCCAGAAGAGCTGGCTGCCATGAGGCTGTAGAGAGCCTGTTTTGCCCTATTCAGGAGCTTATAATTTATTCTCTAAGAGAAAAGAGGGATCAGGGCACCCCTGAGGTGGCTCAGTTGGTTACGCGTTTGAATCTTGACCTCAGCTCAGGTCTATACCTCAGAGTTCAAGCCCCGTGTCGGGCTCAGTGCTGGTTATGAAGCCTACTTAAAAAAAGAAGAAGAAGAATCAGACCTGTGTTTTGTTTTGTTTTAAAGACTGCTGTGTTGAGAAAGTAGAGAATGGAATATACCAGGGAAGAAACTGTAATGGAAGAAAAGGTAATGGGGAGAGAAAATTCCTAATATAGCTTATGTCGCTGTCTCTAAATTTCAAAAATATGGTGGGTTGGTCATTCAGTGCACTGACTTTTATAACTTGAGTTCCAGTGAATTGGCTCACTTCTAACAGACGGAGAGGTGAAATAAAGAGAGAATACAGAGAAAGAGGGAATGAGCTGAATTTGAGATTTTTGTGAGATTGGAAATTTCCAACTGGCTATTGGAAACACAGGTGTGGAGCTTGAGAGACTGGCTTAAGAGGAGGAAATCAGGACAAGAGTCCCCTGCTTTGGATTGCTTGCTTTGTGCTCCCAGTGAGTCCAGGAATTATGGATTTTCCCTTTGATCTTTGAACACAGTGTAGTCATTATGATGTTAATTCAGTCAATGCCAATCCAGAATTTTCCTCACCTAATCCCTCCCATCCTGATCTGTATCCATTGAGATATGTCAAGCAAAAATTCTTAGTATTTCTTAAGACCAGATCTCTGCAACACCATCTTTTTAAAATAATTTTTATGAGTTTGGGTAGAGGCATAACAACTGAAAATCATTTTAAAAGCTGTTTTTGGAGGAGATATAAATATATTCAATATCATTTCAAACAGCAGAACTAAGACCAAAGAGAAAAACCTACAAAGAGAAAGATTTTGCCCAAAGATAGCATAGTCTAACAAAGGCTGGCCAACACAGGTTGTCTTGCAAAGTAGAGAGCTCCCCATTTCTGTGTTGTTCAAGTGGGGGCTGTCAGACATCTGGGGATGAGGGGCCTGGAGGGACAGAAGTCTTGCAATGATTGGATAATCAAATTAATTTCACCCTAGTTTTATGATTCTAAAATTTTAATTAAGATTTGACCAATGTATGATCGATTTGCACATTAAGTAAATAGGGCATTTTTTACAGCTGGTTTTGGCTTATGTTTAACCACCATCATAACAAAAGTACCCTGTGCTTTTGTGTGTATCTCTAATAAACAATTCACCATGAGTCAGATTCTGTGCCCCCTCCCTACTCTCCTGTCATCAGTGCATTTACGAACAATGTGTGGGTCTTTGGGGGTAATTATCAGCAGTCAGCTACTTTCTATATGAGGAGTAAACAGTATATACAAGGAAAGGTAATCATCATAAATAAATATTATGGCCCCCCCCAAGTATTATATTAATATATGAATATTGTTTCTCCTGGAATTGAAACGCTATATCTAGATCTAAACAGAAACTTTGGAAAGGAAATTTTGGAAGATGTTTTCATGTTAATTGCAGAAACTATAGTAGAATATACTTTTTTTAAAGTGATTCAGGAGGAAAACAGTAAAGAACTCAGTTTTCCACTGAAACAAAATATTTAGGCTGTAAACATTTCATCTCTAACTGGATGACAAACACTAAGGAGAGATCCTTTTCTCCTCATTATCAGCCCAATGCTGACTGCATGGATGACTTGCCCACTGACTTCGAGGGATCTCTGGGAGGCCCACCCACCAACCAGATCACGGGCGCAAGCGACACGACTGTAAACGAAAGTTCAGTCACTTTGGACCCTGCTGTCCGGACGGTGGGAGCCTTGCAGGTGGTCCCGGATACCGATCCTACCCCGCAGGAAGGAGAAGTCATCTTCACTACTAACAGTAAGTCCTGCTCCGTTCCAAAGTGCTGTAGTCCACAGAGCTGTTGCCACGTGGGAATTACAAAAAGACACTTTTCCTCAAGAAGGAAAAAAAAAAAAAAAACCGAGTATAATATTGCCAGGCTGAACAGTCATACCTGATAGGCCTTTAGAAGCCCAGTGCTTTCCAAAGCCAACATGGCTGACAGCAGACCTGGCTGGGCATCTGGCCTTGCCCGAACACGGACACCTCTGCACACGCGAAAGCATTGCCTGTCCTAGCCCCGTGGTACCTGAAGTGGGCAGGGAGGTGGCTCTGGTCTCTGAGAGTGATGAAAAAAGCAGCTACAGGGGATGCTTAGCAAGACAGCATAGGGCACAACCCTGCTCACTCTGCGTGTGTGTGTGTGTGTGTGTGTGTGTGTGTGTGAGAGAGATATTATTGAGAGAGCCTATTATTGAGGGTCATTATTATGAGCTGCAATGATGCAGGAGACTGCCCTCCTGTTATTATTGTGTGTCAGATGTAAATATTATTTTATTAATGATGGCTGCTTTTAAAGTACAACCTAATCCCCCAAACACAGTGGCATATTAAACTATCTTTGGGATTCCTTCCCTGTCTTCTGCATATACTCTAACTACTGTTCTATTTGATGGTAGTCATAAAATTATTAAAAAGCTGTGTTAGCATTATCAAGATCGGGGTTATTAAAACCCAAAGCATTATTGCCTTCAGTCTTATTGATGACAGCAGAGATGAGATAATAAAAGTAATGACAGGAGTTCTAATTATTGAAAATCACATTGCTACAAGCAAATTAATTATTATTAATGTGTTGGTTCAATGACTGTTTATTATTAAAGGTGTGTGGATATTGAGATTTTATTATTAAGGTGTGTATTATTATTCTGGTATTATAGAAGTAACCTATTATTTGTTGAAAATTATTGGAATGGAGAGTAGATTATTAAAGCCTGATATTATTTTATTATTGTCTTATTATTTTTTTTTTTTATTATTTTTTTTTTTACATATTTGTGATATTTAGAATTTATTATAAAATCATTATTCATGCTAAATGCAATGATGCATTATTATTGATGAAGAATATTAATTATTAGACCTTGTTGAAAAATGACAACCCAAGATTGTGAAACACAATAAAAAAGAATGATGAAAATCGCTCAGTATTACCCCAATTGTTATTGTAGAAATAATCACTCTATTATTTGGTATTTCCTGATAGCCTTATTGATAAAGAAGACAGTATTGATACCAAGGGTTGAATGTTATTATTATTGTAACTGTAAACTCCTTATTATGACCTCAGCAGGAAGTATTGTTAAGAGAACTTGTTATTGTGGCAAATATTATCTGTGTCCACAGTGTGTATTATTGGTGTGATAATTTAAGTTTGAAACCTGACCTTATTAGAGGCATTATAATGACTCAATATTATCAAACATCATTATTAAATACTACAAGTCTCGTATTGACAATTATTCCAACTCATTATTGGCTGTCCTATTATTAATACAATTATTGTGTCACATGTATTCAAGTTATTTGGTCAAATGAAAATAGGTTAAGTTTATTTAGTGTATTTTATTGAACCCAATGTACTAATATTTGTGTAGTCTTTGTATTAACTCCTCAAAGTCCAGTGTGTGTTTTATTTATTTATTATTCTGTTTGTTATTATTGTTACAGCCATGTTATTATTTCGCGCTTAGAGTCATTATTAATGGTTATTATTAGACTGAATATTGTTATTATGATCTAGAATTATACTAGTCATTATTTAGATTATTAGAAGAACCTTATTATTAAAATAATTTGGGCTTTATTATTACAACGCTCATTTTATTATTGGCCCAGAAGAGTATTATTGATGGGTCAAACAGTATTATTATTCCTCAGAGTATTAGTACAAGATTATTGGCCCATTATTTTTCCATTATTATTCTTGATTATTATTACCATCATTATTAT